AAGATGGCGCCGGGAGCGCCCCCAGGGAGGGAAAGGGGTTGGGAAACGCGTTTTCCTCACGCGTCGCGTGGGTGATTCGCGCAGGAAAGGGCCCGCTCCCGGGTTCGTGCGCTGAGGGAAGGAAAGGGCGAAGAGGGAGGAGGCTCATTGCGGGTAATGATGAATCCCCCTAGGGATTCACGCAAACCTCAGAGCAGGCCAGTTCCAGACTCGGTAGGGCCTTACAGACAAGCGGAAAGTCGTTTCACGTGCAGCACAATGTGTATAACGTCCCAGAATGTATCAGATTTTATAGTTTCTTAACAGGATCATACATCTTTTGAAAGCAGGAAAATGTTCATTAAGAAGATGTAGTAAGATGTTAGATAGCTACACTATTCATTTTTTTATCACTTCGTAAGAACAACTCAATGCCCATTTGGCACAAAGAGGCCCTCTTTGGGTCCAAGTCTTTGATAAATAGTGGTCTTTTAATGTCACATAAAAAATCACAACATGATTTATTTTGCTTTGTTTTTTACGTTCATCTCATATGGTATTCACTTGTCAGTGCAAATTATATTTGTTCCAACAGTACCTCAAAATCTTCCTGATAGATACATAACTAATATACATTTGCATTTCTTACAACCAAGCAAAATGGCCAGTAGTAAAGAAAGGCCTAAATTTAAAACAGTATTTATAAACCAAAGGAACTGTCAACAATAAACAAACTTGCACTATCATGGTATGCTAGCACTGATTAATACTAAGTAGAAAATAATTAAAAAAAACTTGGCACGTAAGGGCTTTTAAGTGGTTTATAAGCATTAACACTTTTGCATCACCCTCGACACTCAGAATTGTGGGTATTTAAGGGAGGGAAGGAGAGGGCGAGGGAGACAGAATGAGAATACTAATTAATACTAAGTAGAAGATAATTTAAAAAAAAAAACTTGACACGTAAGGGCTTTTAAGCATTAACACTTTTGCATCACCCTCAACACTCAGAATTGTCCCTATTTAAGGGAGGGAAGGAGAGGGCGAGGGAGACAGAATGAGAAAGAACATTTTGAAGTGATTTACCCATTTTTTCCCCCCATTCCACAGGTAATTAGAGAAAGGAGTTGTAGAGAAAAGTCTCACAGGGTTGGATAGCCCGTAAGAGTGGACAAGTGTGTATGATTTTGGGAGAGATTAGAGTTAAAAAACAAAAGTCGAAGAGAGGAACATAAATTTAAAATGTTTTCTATTTAATATTTATAATTGTGAGTTCACAATCTAAAATGAATGCAGTTTAAAAAATGTCCCACCCATTGCTATCTACGTGATAGGAATCATGTTTATACTAGTGAGAAGATAATTCAAGTTCTTGCATCCATCTCTAGTAATTTACTGTGGTCTCCACAAATGAAAAGGGATATTATTACACTATTATTATTACTACACTATTCAATACAAATCCTATACTTGCTTTCATACTATTTGATACAAATTCTACATTTCAATGTTTTCAAGAAAACTCATACATTAAAAGCCTTTGAACTTCTATTTTTGAATAACTATTTATACAGAACATATAAAAAGACTGTGCAGATTGTTACTTCTAGAAAAAGTGAGTATTTCATACTATTGCTACTAAGTTTGCATCAAATAATTGATTTAGCTCAAATATATATATAAAAAAACCAACATATTTTAATGTAAAAGAAGTGTCCGTATATTGAGGCAATGTTCTGAGTTCCTTTAGCTCCTGTCACAAATATCCATCTGAGGGCTGGTAGAGTTCTTTAAGCCTGTCAAACTTCGGCCCCCACTCTTGGAGGAAATCGTAATTTAGATCATCATCATCACTAACGGAGTCTAGGGAACTAAGGCTCCCTGCTAGAGAGCACTGCCCTTCTAAGCAGTAATAATGAAGAGTGTCAGCTGGGAGACTCCGTAGATCATTGTCTGCCTTCCAGACAATTTGAGATACATATTCCTTGAAATCTGGGACGCTGGTAACAGCTTCTGGCTGTTTTTGATGGGAACGGTTTGGGAGCGAGTCTCTCTTTGGCCCGGTGGGTGTCCTGGAATGCAGAGCAGCTGCCCGCAAGGAGAAGTGGGGAACATTTCGGAGAGGTTTCTTCAGTTCATCTATATCATATGCATCCTGAAAGAAAGGATGCAAATATCAGAAAAAAAATTAAAGAAAACATGTTCCCCAAAATATTTTAAACTCAATGTAACACAAAACCAGATTCTGCGAGTCTTCTACTACCCGAGGAGAAGAGAGGGGCTAGTTCAGAGGAACTAGATCCAGTCATACCACATGCCTTTGAACGTTGAGACTTCAGCTAAACTAAGATGCTGTGGACAAAGTACAAAGTACTGCACTGTCCCCAGGGTGGCCCCTTAAAAGGTGACCACATTTTCCCATTATGAAAACTACAGATCAGATTGTAATAAAATATATATTTTTAAAGTTGTTAAAACAGTTGAACAAAAAGAACAATTGGGTGAGGGCAATAAAAAAAATAAATAGAGGTATAGGAAAGCAAGGAAAGGAGACATTTGGTTTCCAAAGACTGAACTGGAGCTTCTTCATACCTGGTCACGCTCTCCTCCTCCTTCCTCGTTATAATTGAAGACATTTTCTCTAACATCCTCCCAGCTTTCACGCTCTTCAGGAATGTGGTAAATTCCTCCCTTCCGAAACCCTGAGGTTCCCCACTGACTCCACACTGTGTAGGAGACCAGGAGAGCTAGAAAAAATGAATATACATATTTGTTTTTGACATATGACAAAGTACGACATACGACAAAGACAGTTATATGACTCCTGAGATATCAAATCAACTATTATTTTAAAAGCAAATTCCCACGTAAGAAATGCATAATTATTAGTGTATATGCAAGTTATTTTCAGGAAGGTAAAGAATCATCTATATTTATTTTTATATATATATATTACATCATAAACTTCATTAAAAGGGTATTTTACTTACCTAAAGGAATCCATTTAAATGGAAGGCATTTTGGCCAGTCTCTGGCCTTTCACCAATCCTGAGTAAATAAGATACCCAAAGTAAGTAAAACACTGTTTTAATGAAGGTTACAAGTGTAATATAGTCATTGGAAACTTTACTATTCTGAGATGTGTATGCAGTTTTTCATTATCAATATGGGAAACAGGCAATTTTGTGGCATATTATTATTTCAACCAAAGTACATCTAAAACTGGACACTTTTTGAGAATTCCTTTTTTGATCCTGCATTCTTAATGAAGTTTGCCTCATTCACATGACCAGAGAGATTATAAAATCTCTGGAGAAAGTGCTCCTCCTTCCTAGCATGTGAACAGCACACAGAAGTTGTAGGTGCTACATAGTACACACGTGAGGGTTCAGGGAAGGTGGAAGTTTCAGAAGAAAATGGATTCACATTTATTTGCACACACAGATGGAAAGTCTCTATGTAAGAAGGAGTGAAAATAAGTGATTCTGGAAAAGGGAAATTCTAAATATGCTTGAACTTGCTTTAAGCAAGCAAACTGTAACCATGTGCTGCCTGTCTCTTAGCATCCTCAAATGAACCCCAATTCGTGATTTCTGGAAAAAAATTAAGTGCTGGTCACAGTATCCAAGGAGTAAAGCAGACTTTACTCAGTAGAGGAACGTACATGATGAAAATAATACTAAAAAACAAGCAAACAAAAAACAATCCAGCAAATTTGCTTTCCTACCTAGAAAGACAAGGAGGCACATGCTGATTGCCAGAATAGAGCCAGAGCTGAGTCCAACTGGTCTTCCTGCTTTCACCTGACTAATTTCACACCACCTTCCCTTGTACCCATCGGGGCACTGGCAGATAGTCTTGTCTTGGGATTGGGCCACACAGGTGCCCCCATTCCTACAGGTCCAGTGTCCACACGGTGAGGAGGTGCAGTGTCTGAGCCCTGTAAGGTTATCCGTCACTTCGACTTTCCCAGCTGGACACCTGAACAAAACAAACAAAAAAGCACAGGATACCTTTTAGGCCGGAGCAACACCTGGAGTTGTGTGCTTCTTTGTGTAGATTTATTTCTTTCATTTATTTCTTTAAAACTAACAGTGAAGCTCTTTTTACAGAAGGGTGTGAAAGGCCTAACAGGAAATAAGCCAAAGGGAAACAGGCTAGCAGGCACTTAGTGCAAGTTTGGCAGTGTTCAAGTGGAGCTTTGGGAAAAAGAGGTCATTGTCCTGTGAAGAATGACCCATCTTGTCTTCCAGGACTTCAGCCTGCAGAGAAGTATTTTCTTCTGATAGCAATTTGGAGAGGCACTGCAGGAATACTCAGGGAGCACGAGACCTGCTGTCAACTCTCCAAAGGGCAGAAACTTCAGTACTAGGGAATAAATGGAATAATCCTTTCAAATTGTTCTTTTACAAGTGAGCTCAAGAGAGGAGTGTCCTGAGGTGTCTTTAAGACTCTCTTCTATCTCACAGCCTCTTTCACGCTCCTCTCTCCAGCCATGACACAACTTAATCTAATTTTGGCTGACCTGGAGGAATTTAAATGGCACAAGCACCTCTTCCCAGTCTTTTAAAGAAAAATGCCTATATTTTCATTTGCATATTTTAATACGTTGGTAATTTTCATCAAAGGTTGGGTCTTCTGCAAGAATCTTATTGAACACAGTACCAGGCTGGAGGGCTCTGGTTCTGATCTTGGGCAGCCAGTTTTAGAAACCAGTTTTGTGACAGTCATTTTGAAAAGCTCTTTATTTTACACAACGTATTATTAATTTCAGTTTCTTTAGAGAGTGTATGTATAGACACACATGTGTGTGTGTGTCTAGAAATACAGAAACACAGATTAAGGCTTTTGCAATGCTCCTTTTACTCAAAGAGTATTTCATTGCCTCCCTGGCCTGTGGATCTTCTAACCATGGGAAAACAGTGAAGTAAATAGGTTCCATACCAGACTTAGAGGAAACTGCAAGTTTGGCTGCAATAGGAGATGAGATAGAGAACAGGATTTGTCCTTGAGATGCCCCTTCTGACCAGCAGCAGGAGGGAGTTTCACCGTTAACAGCAATTCACCTGACCAAGGCTAGGAAGAAAGAGCTCCCCAGGCACCCAAGGGAAAGCAAAGGCTTCACGTACCGGCACTCGTACTTTCTCCACAGGTCTACGCAGAAGAAGGGGCTGTAGCAGGGCTGGCCGCTGCAGGCAGTGGAGTGGCAGCCCATCGTGACGCCCTGTCGCCTCCGAACGAGGGCCAGCTCCAAGCTCTGGCCTTCCACGAGGAGCGGGCGGCCGTCGAGCTGCACGTCGCGCATGCAGCCTGCGCCAGAGCAGGGGAGTGCACACAGACACACATAGACATCGTGTTCCCAACACCCCCTGCACGTCTTGCCCCAACACGTAACCAGCAGGAGCCCTTGAAAATGCTGCATGGGCTGAACAGCTTCAAAAGCACCTTATACTACTTATCTGTTTTATTTTAGAAAAACTACAGAGCACCTGGTGTCCTGATTTCTTGACAGATCTGCTCCTCTAGGACAGATCTGCTCCTCTAGGACAGCTTGTTTGTGCCAGTGCAATGATTTAGCAGAACTGTGCTAAGCACTAGAATACCATCATTAAATTAAGCTAGCTTTAAAAATACAATCATAAAAGTTGGACTAAATGAGAAGGAACATAATGGAAAAGCTGCCTTCTGTTGAGCTATAAAGTCCCAACACCTGCGCTGGACAAAATGGAGGGAGAATATGCCTTCATATCTTTACCCTCCTACTAAAAAACGTTGGGTCTGCTCCTTAAGCCTTTCCCAGTCAAAAAGAGAGTGAAAATCCCAGCATGACCTGGGATCACTATTAATTAAAACTTGAAGTGCTATTTTTTACAGAAAATCTCGCATCTTTACTAGGACTAAACATAATGTCAAACAGAGAGTAGAGCATTAGCTCTTAATTCTCCAGTAGAGGAGATGGGATTTCGGTCTCCATTGGAATTCCTGCTTGCATTTTAGACTCTCCAATACCCCTGGAGATTCCACTCGTACATTTTAATCCCCTCATCATATCTCTTACCTTGGAAGTCACTCTCCGAAAGGTTGGGAAGGCGGTTTCCTAGCACAATGCTTGTCCAATCCATTTCAAACCACCTGTTTGTACCCAAGACAGAGGTCACTTCTTGATCACCTCCACCATCATTAACACGCAGGGTAAATTCGTTGTTGTAGCGCTCCATGGTCAGCAGGACCCACTGGCCATTGTTTATACGCAAGGTGCTCATCCTCAGGGAGTAATTTTTGTCCTCCAAGCTGAAGTTTACACTGAAGGAACCCCCAACCACCTAAAAGAAGATGATAGAGGCCTTTACTTGCAATAGAAATGAAAATCTGAATGTAGGGATAGTGGACAGACTCAAGAAATGGAATACAAATGGCACTCTTGTTTTTAAACATGCCATGAGATTCTTTACTGCAAGATAAAAGTTAGAAGAACAAACTACAGGTCTAGGAATTACCTGCTTTCTTCCCTACAGGCTTCTCTCTAAGAAAAATGAGTTTTATCATCAGTTTCCTCCCTTTCTCATCTCTAGGTCTTCTTAGCTGACCCTCCAGTTATAGTTGGAATAATTAGTCTCTACTTGGCTAATATAATGCACAACAGAAACAAAAATGTAGGCAGAAATTTTACAGCCAGAGACTGAAGCAGAGAAAATGCAAGCTAGACCAAACACTCTTCCACATGTATCCCATGCACTCACCTGCACTTTTGGGAACTAGGACTCATGCTACAAAAAGCTATTACTATATTGTCTTGCATCCAAGAAACACTGTTCTGGCTGTGCTTTTTATTTCTGAGAAGGGCAGCACAAACGAGAGCAGTTGTTCTCATGTGGAAAATGTTTGGTCTCTATTACATTGAGGAATGGCTGTCTTTAATCAGAAAAAAAAAAAGTATCTTTTTCTCTTCTGTCCTACTGTTGTGGCAGATTACGAGCGCTTAAGCAGAACAGCTTTTGGATGGATCACCTCCAGCCGGATGTGTCCACGGCCACGCGCAGCGGCCAGGCTGAGCAGGGTGCCGTGGGCGATGCGGGTGCGCACCATGAGCTGGATGTGGGTGCTGCGGGTGCTCAGGCTGCTTCTTGGCTCGTAGTGGATCCAGCTATCCCTTCCAAAGGCCCATTCTGGAAGTGCTAAACACAACAAACGAACAGGAAATCTCAGGAAATCTCCACAGTTTAAGATTTACTGATTCTGAATGGCAGAAATCTGGCTATTAAGGAACTCCAGCATAGTGAAATGTCATGGGAAGCAACCACTGCCTCTGAAAGGAAATTCAACCCAAGGGAATTAAGAGAAAAAATAAAAAAAATATAAACAAAATACAGAATTTGGGCATACATAAAGATTTGGAAATGTCTCCAATATTCTGCCTGTCACAGGCAGCACATTCACCCAAATACTCCTATACTACCCAATAACCTTATTTATTTAAAATCTGAAATATATCTTCCAGTAAAGTATTTGGCTTTGATCTGAAGATAAAAAGATTTAGAATCTAGTGTTTCCTTCAGTTGGTCTGTGGTTAATAGCCTTTACTCTAGAAAATGTGCACCTTTAATGCCACTTTCCTTCTCCGGAAGATCTTCAAACCCCGCTTGGATGCCACCCTGTGCCACGTGCTCTGGGTGTCCCTGCTGGAGCAGGGGGGTTGGAATAGGCAATCTCTAGAGGTCCCTTCCCACCTCAACCATTCTGTGATTCTGTGAAAACTGAGAGGGGTAATTCTCTTCAAACACTGCACAAAGCCCCAGATTTATTGGGCACAAGTGTTCATTACAGACTGTTATCACCAGCCCCATCATTTGTACCTTGCATGTAGATGGAGAACAGGACAGGTGAAGCTCCAATAATACTGCAATTCACATCTGACTTCCCATGTATTTCACAGCAGTGGCTGTGAGTCTGCATGGAGAGCTGCTGAACATACTGCATTAGGAAGCCAACTTCAAGCACATGCCCCTGTGCCCTGAACATGGCCCTGGGCTGCTGGGAGCACTTCAAACATCAACAAATGTATTTATTAAATTTCTGGATTGCTAAAATTTTGCACTTTTTAACAATGCCTCTGAGGTTTTTCATTATCCCCTCTTGCAAGTTTTTGTTCTCTGAAAAAACTGCTGATTTTTGTGTACAGGATAACACATTTGCTGGAACTAGTCTGATATGTCCTTACATAAACCTATTACTGTGGTCTAAAGGCGTTTCACAAGCTTAAGGTCACCGCAGGGACAGAGGGAAATGCAATTATCCTCCTTTCATAGATGGAAAACTGTCCCTGGGGGAATTGAGGGATGTATCCTCAGGTTTCACAGGGAGAACCAACCAGGATCTGCCCTGTCCCAAGCTGGCATCTAGTCACTCTTACCAGCACCACAAGGATGACAAATAGTACCATGTCCATTAAATTTCATTTTATGATCTGTGCAGCCAGAGGAAGAATACTAATGCAAAATGCTTCATCTTTCATTATTGAGAAATGAGGTGATGTAAGAACAATACAAAACAACCCATCTGACCACTTGCTTCCTCCTCAAAGCAAAGCAATCCAAATTCAACAAGAGCCAGAAGGATCCTTACATTGCTGCAGGTCTAAATCCCACTCAGAGTGCTAAGCACTCTGCTGCTAAGCACTGCTAAGCCACTCAGTTCCACATCCTGCAAACTTGCAGCAGTCTGTTTTGATGCCTGTTCCCGCAGATTCCCACCACTGATTCTCTCCCCTAACTTATGGTACCTTTGTCACATGCAGGTCCAGCATATCCTGGGGAACAGTCACAGTGAAAGAAATCCCAGCCAGCAACACACTTGCCATGGGCACCACAGGAGGCCAGCCTGGCTCCCCGGCACATTTCATCCGTCAGGACGCACCCAGGAGCACTGTTTAGGGACTCTGCAGGGTGCTCCAGGTCATAGACCTGGAAGAGGCAATAGAAACACCACGTCAGGTGGCCGCTGCTGGCCCCAGCAAGCCCAGGAGCGCTCCGGGCAGCCCTACCTTGCTGTCCACAATGACATTGCGGATGCAGCCAACAAAGCCTCGGAAGTGCTTCTGGGAACTGGAGAAGGGAAAAGTCTTCTTAACTCCACCCAACTGCAGGGGCTGCTGACCACTGAAGAGACCACCCATGCTGATGGGAAGCCAGTGAAAGCAAGAATTAGTGACATGTAAATACAAAACTTGGCTGATTTTTATTTCCCCTCATCTCCCCTTCCCTTTTTTCTTCAGTGCTTATGTTTCCAGGTCATGTTGTTCATGATTTTTACCTCTGAATTCCCACAGTCTCTTTAGAGGCTTCACAGGCGGCCAGATCCATTTGGGAGATCTTCTTAGTGATTCTGCTACTGTCTCTAACTGAGACATTTATGCAGTGGTCAAGAATCAGCTTCACTTTCTGGAGAAAGGCATTACTGAATTGCATCAGGAGACAGCAATACATTTAATTACATATTTTATTTCAGGAAGCAGAAGGGAGGATAGTAACTAGAAATTAAAACGTAGGGAAGTTAATTAAAATAATAAAACACTACCAGGCTACTAATCAGGTTACTGCACATAACATATAACTAAGGGACCTACCAGAGAAGGTCAAGTCACTGAGACATTAAAAAGAAGACAAGATTTCATTAGAGGTTTCTGCCGGTTCCCCATCCCAGATCCTGACATACCCTCAACCTGTCCCATGGGGCAGAGGAAAGAGCAAACCAGCAGATGCCTTCA